TGAATCTCTGCATACGTTTCTTGACATTTTGACATCATTTTTTTCTTTCTATTTCAGCAACATTCACGAAAATAAGTCAATTTTTGTCATATTTACAAATGCCAATTTGATTAGATTAGTCATGATTATTTCATGACTTGTATGAAAGATGTACTGTTTAAATACTGACACACACGAAGCTGTTTTAAAGGGCTAATTTGTGTTTTCTTGACATCCAAATCTACTCGGGAGATCAAGGCTATTATCAAATCTTTTGTTACATACAGTGAGCTGGCGACGCTGGTACGTTAGTGAAATCATTAGTTGATGTGTATTTATCACCACGTTTTTCTTAACACTAACTTGTTCAACAGTCGTATTGTTTACAGTAAATAAACAGTAAATGTACACACATTAATTTATAATCTTTATTTATTTACCTCAGGATTTTATGTTTCTTTTGTCAGTATTCTAACCATATGGAAACGTTTTCATATTTACGATGTATATTTGGCAAAAGTGTAGTGTAATGTGTCAAAACTGCTGCTTGTAAAGTGTTTGTTTTTTTTCTGCAAGAATGAACAAAAATGACACCAAGAAAAAGAAAAAGCAAAATATGTTTAAACTTAGTGTCACCAAGGAATTCCATGCTGCTGTGATAAAACCTTACTGTAAACCTACAGGTGAAGAATTGTGACTCAAAACCTGCTTCTTGATGTACTGAAAGTCTTTGGTTAGCCATCAATGTTGTTTTTTTTTTTAATGCTGTGACTGTGAAGTTTGTGATTTTTTTATTTGTTTTTAGTCTTTCTTGTATTTTGTGACCTTGTCCATGGCTTTCTGAATAAAATGTGATCAATTCAGCAGATGAAAGCACTGATATAAGCCTTTGTTGTAAGTTTTAAGATTACCTTGGAAACAAAAATGAATAACAATAATAATCTGAAGAATTTGTCCTTAGCCAATGGCATTCCGTCTTCAGAGCTCGTCCCTTCTGCAGTCTCTGCTCTGCACCAGTTTCACTGTGTCTGAAGGTCTCACCATCATCCACGCATATTTGCACAGCCTCTCCTTGTTGCAGTCCTTCTGCCAGTAGATGACGTTCCTGCGGTTCAGATTGGCACCTGCACAGGCGTCGTACCACCAGCCCCCTCCTGGAACACCCTGGAACTCCAGCTTGGCACAGTTTTGGAAGTAGTTGTCGTTGTCTCTGTCCTTTGTGGTGAATTTTTGATTGTCATGCAGGTAGTTCTCCGTGTCCAGGGTCAGGGCGTCTACGGTGGTTCCCTGGAACAGTCCCAGCCTCAGCCTGTATGCCGACGCCTCGTCCTCCACTAGAAAAGGATCGTACTCTCCAACCTTGGTCACAGCGTCCGGGCCCACCAGTTTTATTCCTAGCTTGTAGCGTCCAGGGCCACGGGTGAGCTGGTGGAGGTATTCGTTCCCAAGCCAGTGGTCTCCTGAGACTGCCCCGAAGCCCAGCTTGTACTCAGCCCAGGTGCGATCGAAGTTCACGCTGCTGTTAACGGTAATGTGCTGCACCACAGTCCACCCTCCCTCCTGCATGACACAGTAGGCAGCAATGGGGGCGTCACCAGGTTTGATTAAATAAATACCGTCGTGAGCCTGGCCTGAAGAGATCATCAGCATTTCATAACAGTCCCTGGGCAGCACTGATGGGCAAATAAAGAAAGAAAAACACCAAAATCAGATAAACATCAACATAAACAAACATAACTAGTAACTCAGGCCACAGTCAAATACTCCTAATTATCACAATATTTACCCTTTCTAAAGGAAATACTCCTAATTATCACAATATTTACCTTTTCTAACTCTGCAGAGGTGAGTAAAAAGTCATAATTGACACTGTTCATCAGAGTTGTCACCATGTGAACAAAAATAGAAAAATTATAGTAGTAGTAGTACACTGTACAGAGTGTAGTTATGTTTAGTTGAACACACGTCGATATTGTTGCAGGAATTGAAGAAACACGAAGAGACCCAACAGCACCAAGACTTTTTTTGTTTATTTGCTGCCATCTAGTGGAAAAGTATTAAATATTATATTTCAATATTATTTACAGTATCAACATTCAATAGAAACATATATGTAGTTTTGTATATATATATATAGTATATATATATATAGTATATATATATATAGTATATATATATATATATATATATATATTATATATATATATATATATATATANNNNTATGAAATATGTTGTTTTCAGACCAATTGAGTGATACTGGATATTTTCCCAAGGTACACCTAACGATCACCATTACCTTAATAGACTATTGGTTCTACATTCGTACAAAAATATATACCATCTCCATTATATATAACTGTAATATTAGGATTAAATACTTTATAATCTTAGAATAAATACACAGAATCTAAAATACTTTTAATCACCCCACTTTTTACTGCACCCTAACAGCCAAAAACAGCATCCAAAAAGTCAGTCCCAAAGTGGATGAATACCTCTCATGTCACGATTCCGCAGCAGGTTATACTCCTCGGGGTGAAACAGATGCAGGTTCTCAGCTTGGACCTGGTCCAGAGTGTCTCCACTGACACTGAGCAGTAGCAGGGCTGCTGCCTGGAGCCAGCATCTCAGACATGTCATTGTTCCCCTCACTGTGACGTCATGCAGCCAGAGAGAGTTTAATCCTAACGGAACGTCCTTAGGGTCAACAAAGTGGGCCTTTAAAAGTGTTTACCTTCAGTACAGGCCCCAGGCCGTGGTGACAGAGATAGGCTGGAACCTGTACTGTCCTGGTTTGGTCGACCGCTGCTGTTCACACTCAGAGTTCACTGAATCACAGCTCTTCCCACACGGCTCTTCTCTCCTGCACTGTCACAGCTGGACTTCAGCCTTGGGTTCACATCCCACTGACACAGACACATGCCTGGTACTTATCTGTGTCAAGTCAGATAAAACTGCAGGCAGACTTTGAGATGTGAGTAATGTAATCGCATATCTCTGTTGGCTTTAAATCACTTCAAGATTGACTGAGACTGAAGTCCAGCTGAGACCTTTCTGCTTCAGACAACCAGCTGTGGTGATACTTGATGTGTAGTACAGTTCACAGTAGAGTGTACACAAAGAAACATGGCAGTACTTTGTATTCTCAAAAAAACTATATGTTTTATTATTATAAAAATAAATAACATCCCCCACAAAAATAACACAGATGACACCAGTGGTTCCCATAGTGAGGGGGTGGGCTCAAAGCTGGTGAGTAGCTGCGAGGGGGTGGGGGGGGAGTACAGAAAAAAGTCAGAATATCCTTTTTTTGGGACCACTGACTGCATTTTCCATGATTTAATATTCCTGATGCACACTCTTTGTAATCCAATTAATATAAGATTTCATAAAAATGATATTATAATACAATATTTTAATATAATCACCAGGCGAAATTTATTTTAAAAAAATAAACATGATCTCTTCTCTCTTTTCAGTCGTCAGGCGAGTTCAGACAGGAAGGAGTCAATGGCCTGAGGAAAAAAAAGATTAATTATGTGATAATATCACAGCTACTGCACAGTAGGTATAGGTATAAGAGCAGGGGTCACCAACGTGGGGCCCGGGGGCACCTGGGGGCACCTTGAAGCTCTCATTTTCAATCAATCATTTCAATCATTTTTGGTTAAGAGTTTGTGTTGTAGAGTAAGTTTACCTTTGCCATGTCTCCAACAACTCCTGGGGCTGATTTAAATAAATGTTCCTCCTGCCAGAACTCCAACAACTGCTGATTAAAGACTTGGAAATTCCTGAAACAAAGTCAAAACCAATAATTATGATGTATTTATACATTCACAATGAGCATGTGAGGGAAATACAGTAGTAACTGGTTCCATCCTCTATAACAATTCTTAATGGATTGTTATACAAATGCTAAATATCTAATGTAACGTTTCAGTCAGTTTAGCTGGGTCTGCCTTATTTATACTTAAAATGAGGTATGGTAATCAATAATAATAATATTAATAGTAATAATAATAATAATAATAATAATATAAATAATAATAATCAGAGACTAGTTGTTAATTAATCAATGTCATTATTTTGATATTATTTTTATTATTATTATGATTTTCTATTAATGATGATTAATTGTGATTCATTTAAATCATTATATATTCATAAATATGACAAACAAATGTCATTCTGCCCTCAGGTTTAAAAGCGTTAGAAATCTGATTAATCTCAACAAATCATTCATAAAGTGAATGTGTTACTTTTCACAGCCCTTATTGTTTAATAGTTGATTCCTCTCTGCATAATAAGGAACACTCACTTCTCTATATGTGGTGATGATCCAGAATAACCACTCGCTATCAACTCCTTCCTCCAGTGCATTAAAACAGCATTAATCCAGTTCAAACCAGCTGTGAGATACCTGTAAGTGCAAAATGTGCATTTTAAGTCCTTTTTTTGTTTTACTGTGAAATTCTGCAGTTTGTTCAAGAGCAGTAACACAAAACGAAATATTAAACATGGAGGTGAAATAACATGGAGACTCACTCTTCGTAGGGATTGTTAAGGACCTTCCTCACGAATGGAAAGAGGTCAACGCAGCAGCCAATGGTCATCCTCGACGGCTCCTTCCCGATGCTGTGGGAACATGTTTTGGGTTTACTCGTTATGTTAACTATTTTACTAGGTGGTCTTTTTAAAAATGTGATGGTTACCTTTGACTTATCAGGGGCAGAAAGTCAACTAAGACACCAGTGTCCTGGGTTCTGTACAGAGACACTGTGTGACGTGACATTCCAGAGATTCAATCAGAATGCATGTCACGGATGTCATAAATCAACAAAGTACCTGGTACCTGAGAAAGTAAGTCAACAGCTCTCCAACATTTCTCTGCCACAGGGTTAGAGCCACTCTCAGCCGCAGGTGTCTCCCAAACAGCACGTCTGTCATTGTCCTATGATCCTTTGTGAGCTGCAAAACGTTCAGATCCAGTAAATTACAAAAAGAACAGGAAGTGGATCCAAAAATAAAATCTCATCTGTGATAGCGACGTCTCTTACCTCCGTAATTGTAGAGTAGTCTGCGTGTTCAGGACCAGTTCTACCAGCCCTGTCATTATGGCTGACATATGGTGGGAACTCCAGTGGGTCCATGCAAAATGTTTCCTGCTGCGTGTTCTGAACACGGCTCGTCTCATCATCTTTCTTTGCAACCCCGTGCATCCTCACTGACCCGGGCTGCTTCCTGCGAGCCATCGTCAGGTGGTGAGTCTTCCTTTTGCATGACACTACCCTCTTCACTCTTCCTGGGGTGTTACCAGAGCGACTCGTTGAGCACCTGGGTGGGGTAAAATGCAAAAACTGTCTGGGCAATAAAAACGTTCAGACTTCTTGTATGGTACTGGGAAGTTCTAAAACAACGACAACACAGGTATGCAAAGACTTAAGTAGTCTGTATATTATTATACCAGACTTTTTTTCCAAACCTACTTATGACATGCAAACAAAATTTGCATTAACAGAAAAAAAATGTATTTTTTTTCTTTAGTGATTCGTCTCACCCTTTTTGCTTCCTGTCACGAGGATACATCACTTTATACTTGGCTGACTCATGATGTGAGGTCTGTTCCGTATTTTCATAATCTTCATCTTCACTGTTGGAGTCCATCATACCTATAAGAGGCACAGATACTGTAGATATATGTCATGAATATATCACATATTCTGAATATTTTATCCTAAAAGTAGTTGCTATAGCTCTATTTAGCTTTAAAGATTATTCGTTTGTATGTTGTCAAATCTTTTTGACATTCAATCACAACTTTATATGTATTTTTAAGATATTAATTTACGGACATCCAATAATATAAGGTTAAATAAATGTTTAAATAAATATTTATATTTTATTTATTTATTTATTTTCACATGTTCTTTTAAAATAATATTGCTGAAAAATTTAATGCAACTGACACGTAAATGCATTATTTTATTTTCTGAAGATACTTCACGTCCTGTTATATTAAAAAAGTGAGTGTCTGCGAAGCCATGTCTGGGGTAAAGTAGCCGAAAGTTAACTTTAAGAGTTAAACCAAAAAAAAATGTATGTATTTAACTTTAAGAGTTAAACCAAAAAAAAAAACTCTCTAGGTTATGTATAAGAAAGAAATGTATGTAACTTAATAATATTTTTTTATTATTTTATCATATATTGTTGATAACGGAAGAATCCTTACTTGAAGATTTTTAGTTATCGTCTTTTCTACAGCTCCACAACACCAGTGATAACTATACTAATGGCGCTGATTTGAAACAATCAAAACACACTTTCCCATAATGCATGGCGGCATTGTTTTTCCTACAAAATGACGTAAACGCGGAACTGCTGTCCACAGGCACAACAACAACACAGGAACGTTCGCAGCATATAAAATAAGTTCATTTAAATACGCCTGTGTGAATATTGTAATGTTTGGTTTCACTTCCCCAAAATTCTTTCTCGTTGGAAGCTACCTCGGATGAAAAGGAGTTCGCGCCCTTAGGCAATGTCACTCCAAGACGTAAAGTGTAAGTTTTGCTGGCAAACAAATCATTGTAGGTAACAGTTCACGGGTGTTATGTCACAGTTTGTTTCTGCAATTCGGCTAAATTAGCTAACTAAAATAAAATGTTGCCTCCGAAAAATATGTTATTAGTTTACCAGTAATTTTACAGCAGTTTACATCTCTAAGTGTGCGTACTTACCATGGTCCTTCTTATTAAGCAGTTATAATGGAGTGTTTAGCTCAGGTACTCCTATTGCAGTACGTTGTACGCCTTCTTTTGAAATAAATTGAAATGGTTCAGACTTCCATTGTGAAATAAAGTCAGCTTTGGTGTCATCTCCCTGGTGCATTTACTAAAAATCTTTTAGATATCCTCCCCTTCATGAGTCACTGCCCAGGTTAATGAGTCCCGTCGGCTGCTTGTCTTTGCACTTTTAGCTCTTTATTGATTGGAGCCAGGCATTTGCTTGGATTGTACTTGAACTCACTTCCACAGCAGAACTTCCAGTGGATGCACAGTGAAAAACAACATTAGCTGCGTTCATTGACTCATCATTTCCTCCCATGCCTCCTTCACTGACTCTGCTGATTTGCGTTTTGCAGTTTCCGGATTCAGATCACCTGATGTTGACCTCCAGTTGTTGTGTGCCTTCATGTGATACTGCGACAGAGCACTGTGTACACTCTTCAGAAGTCAGGTCAGTCTGCAGTACATTTGTTCACCTTGTTTAGTACAGGTTTTGTGTCAAGTTTCATGTGATAGTTAACTCTAAAAATCATGTGACTGCACTAAGTTACTTTCATTTTTGTCTGTTCCATAGGTTCAAACCCTCAGTGTTAAAATGTTTTTTGCTGCGTGTGTGTCGTTAAGTCTTGTTGTGCCCCTGCTGGCACTTGTCCCCGTTCCCATATGGACTCAGCCGGAGCAGGTGCATCTTTCCTATCCAGGTACTTGAAGCTTCATTATTATTATTTTTTAAATTAGGATAACAGTTATCTTGGACAGGTACTTGAAGCTTCATTATTATTATTATTATTTTTAAATTAGAAAAACGGTTTTCTTGGATTATAGTTATAAGCCAAATGAAAGACTGATTTGAATATGTTTTGTACTTAAGCTTCAATAATTTGATAAATGACGACAATATTTTAGCTGATGTTGTAAAAGCTCTCGTTACAAACAGACAGAAGTTTGTTTTAGCTTACAGGAGTTTCTGTATATTTAAAAGCCTGCTGTATATACAATTAAAATAGTTCTATATTTATATATAATTGGAAATTACAAAACAGTTTTGAAGATAATGTCTATATATATATATATATAATTGGAAATTATAAAACAGTTTTGAAGATAGTGGTATTTTTTTCTCTTTTGTTGGACTTTAAATAATGAATGTGGCAAATGTTTGTATTTTAGTTCATTCTTATCTCTGCTTCGAGCTCCAATTGCAGTTAACATATTTTATATTAACAACACTGCATAGCTTTATTGTATGGTTCGTTAGAAATCATCAGTATGTCAACAAATTGGGTAATTGTCATTCTTTATTATTCAAACAATCTTTGATTGATTTAGTCCCTTTGTTGAAGAAGGAAGTTCACATAAAAAATAAAAATTCAAAAATTTAAATTAAAATTTTGAAGTAGTTTTAAGTCTGTTTATCTATGCTACACTATAATAAAAAAATAGTTTGGAGAAAATATGACATACACAGTCATATTGATGACTGCCTTACAAGCAGATAGTCCTGGGTTCAATTCCTAGAGAATTCCCTTGCCGCCTCCAAGGGGCAGCCTGTTGCAGCAGCTCTGCAGTCAACAACAAGAATTTTTCCAGAGTGGGATCAATAAAGTTCATAAAATAAAATAAAATGCTGAGTCAATACATCATAAATAATTTGCTGTCAGGTTCTCTGGTGCAATAATAGCGCAACCACAGAAATTCTTTTTATGTCGTTTGAGCCCAACTTCAAGATTTGTCAGCAGTCAAAGAAGTTTAGCTTCACAAGAAACTTTTCATAGAAGTTTCGCTTAATTGTTTCACAAAGAATCCGTTTAACGGGCGATTGAAAAGAAATAGTGTCACTTTTAAAAGCTAATAATTCATGCCTACTCTACTGGAGAACACAAATAAGATAAAAGAGCTGCACAAGCCGCTGTAATTCTCCTTTACTGTTTGTGTAAATCTTATTCTGCAGGTTAAAAGCACCATAACTGCCACATCTGTAGCCAACACTGGTTCTAATTTATACAGTCACTGCCTTAGAAATTCTGTTTTTGTTCATTCCTTGTGAAGACAGAACATGTGGTAGTCATTTAGGTGATGAATTGAGCACCTGTCCCGTCATCAGCTCACTTTGACTCTCCGGTCGTAGCCTGCCAGCGGCAAGATCAAAAGAACCATTCATGTACAAAGTCAGCCTTTTTTATAAGCATGTCTTGGCTCATATAAATGCACCAGTAGGTGATTCCAATGCTTCTGCGGGATCAATCGGAGAATCTGTGTCGCGTTCCTAATAAGTGGAAACCTGTCTTCACAGGAGAGCCGGGTTCCATGGTTGTGACCTGGACCACCTTCAGTAAGGCTGAGAGCAAGGTGGAATATGGGTTACTGGGGGGTCGACTCTTTGAGATGACCGTTGGCGGAAAATACACTTTGTTTGTCGACTCTGGGGAAGAGAAGAGGAAGATGTTCATCCACAGAGTCACTCTTACAGACCTCAAACCCGCTGCTGTTTATGGTGAGTCCACTTTTGATGCCACCGACTCGTCCTGTGTTGCTGTAGAGATGAATAAATGCACGTCTGTCTTATTTCAGTCTACCACTGTGGCAGTGATGATGGTTGGAGTGACGTCTTCTCCTTCACTGCTCTGAATGACAGCACCAGCTTCAGTCCCAGGTTTGCTCTCTACGGTGACCTGGGCAATGAGAACCCTCAGTCTCTGGCCCGACTACAGAAGGAAACACAGCTGGGCATGTACGACGTCATCCTGCACATAGGTGAGAGCCCCTGGTGGTTTAAGGAAGTACCGCAGGATTTAACACTTTAATTGTCAATGGTAGCCTTAGCTATAATGATTAAATCAATAGAGAGCTAATTTAAATATTTTATTTATAGGTTATGTTATAATATGTGGTGACCTGGAGGTTTTCACCAGCAATCAAGCTGCTGTGCTCCTCAAGCTAGCATTGAAGCTACCTTGTGCAAAATGGACATTTTTTTGACAAATAATCCGAAGGAGCAGACGAACAGTTTATTATTACATTTGTTGTTCAGTAATAATTTTTATTAACATTAGTAGCTTATATCACATGTCAAAAAAATGCACTTTGATTGAAAAAATAAATAAAAAATATTTTAGAGCTGGCAAACACAATGGAAGAACAAGCCTTTACTGCAGCTGTCACATGAGGTGCGTTCAGGTTCTTCGGGAAATATAAGAACCCGACTATTATGGTGGTTAAGGTGTTGTAGAGTTCAGGATCAATGGTTTTAAAATAAAAACATATTTGCAACAAAAAAAAAACAAACAATTCCTACATACTGTATATGATGCTTCAAAACTTTTTAACTCTTTGTTTTTTTTGTATGTCAACTAAAGTTGACAATTCACGACATCAGGTTTTCAAATTCCAGAATGAGATAGATGGCTTCTCGAAAAATTAAACTAAAAAAATAACAATCTGAAGACAATATCAAAAATTATCATTCATTTGAGGATTTGCTATGTATAACAATCTGAAGACAATATCAAAAATGATCAGTTATTTGAGGATTTGCTGTGTAAAAAAAAAAAAAAATCACTTTTTCTTTTTTGTTTCACAGGGGACTTTGCCTACGATATGCACGAGGTACGGCACTCTCCTGTCACTCATTCTCTTTCCTAACATCATGGACTTGGTTAAAAAAAAAGAAAATCCCTGTCAGCTCACTTCTTTCACCAGTCGCTTATTTGCTCAGTGCTGCTCCAATATAGCACTAATTCCACAGCGACAGATGAGATAACCGCTTTACCTCTCCCAACTGCCCCCTCCCCAGCCCTTCACCACTGTTTATTATTATTGCCCATAAAGGCATCCGTCTGTGGTGAAGACACGCAGGTTGTGATTAGCATTAATGTGAACCGCCTTGAGCCTGTGGTGAAAGATGAGAGTCGGGGTAATGTCACCCAAGTATTTAATGAATATAAAATAATGGCATTCAAAACCCTGGTCTTTAGTTCCAGTCTCACATATTTGCTCATCTGAACCCTCGCAGCTGTCGTCCTTGATATTTAGCACTAATAACACCGTCTTGAGTGCTAACATTATATTGTGATGAAATGGATGTCTGCATTATTAATGCATTTTCTACCACACGGGAGCGGTAAATGCAATCGGCAGACGCCTACGTAGGAGAATTAATTCATCCCCTAAAACGTCTTTTCCTGTGGCTTCATTGATGTGTTAAATAGGAAAACAGAGGAAAGCAACTTTATCTGAATGGTCGATAACGGTAAGTTAAGGCAGTTAGAACGTCCATTAACCACAGTTTGTTTTCATAAGCTGTGAAGGCAGTATCAGGATCGCTGAAAAGAAATAATATTTGGTTTCAGTAATGTTTGTGTGGCGGGCTAAAGAAACGTCCCCGGCCTTCAACTGGAAAATTGATGCAGTTCTTAAAAATTAATTTGGCTGCATCTCAGTGAATGTTTCATTCTGGGAAAATCTGTGGCGTCATATGTAACGGCTCAATGACTCTGTTGCAGGATAACGCCAGGATCGGGGATGAGTTCATGAGGCAGATTCAGTCTATAGCAGCCTATGTGCCCTACATGACCAGTCCAGGAAACCACGAGTCTACATAGTAAGTCCAACACTTCATACATGCTATGGAAAAAATAGTTACATCGAGGGCAGCTGGATGGAGTAGGTTTTTATTATTTATTCCTCTTTTTAAGACAGTTGGATGGAGTAGGTTTTTATTATTTATTCTTTTTTTAAGACATTTTGAGTCAGAACTAAAAAAAGCCTCTTGGATGAGAGGAGAAACGTCTCACAAAAAAAACCAAAAAAAACTACTCCGTCCAGTTGCCCTCGATGTAACTATTTTTTGGATAAGATGACCTGGATGACTGACTACACAGACATCTTCATACATGGTATAATTGAAGAAATGTATTGCGACTCAGGATGTTTTCTATCCGTTTCTGTTGGCCATAGTTTGTCTTAAAAAAAAAAAAAAGAAAAAGAACCTAGCGCGTCTCTGTCAGCCCTCCACACTTCCTTCAAAAACATTATGGTCAGCCGCTGTTTTTCTGCTATAAGAAGCAGTTTGGTCGACCAATAAAACCCCTTCTTGTACCATCTGAACACATGGGAACTATTTTGGTCTCCAGAGCCTGGAGCAGCATCAGGAACCGCCGACAAACCAGCCGCCGTTCTCCAACACAAACATTGATTTGACTGAGAATCACACGTTTGCTATCTGTTCCTCCCCTACAGCGCTGGGCAGTCACTGTCTGCCTTCAGACTCACCATTCCTACATGTGTTGCTCACATTGTTGCCTGGGAATGTTTATAGAAAATAGACTAAACAGGAAGCAGGGAACAAAGCAGGATCACAAATGTCATTAATCAGAAATCTGAGTCATTTCTTTTTGAAACACAGAGGCTAGACAGTGTTACCGGTCGTCACAGTTGAAGCATTTGTTTACTATACTAGTGTGAGTATTTTCGTCTGATGGTATTGGTGATGGTCAGTGTGTGTGGGTGAGGCAGGCGGGAAATAGTTTACAGCAGTTTTATTTTCTTCTCATTAACAGAAGACTATTTCAATCAGTTCAGAAACGTAACGATCGATGTTAAAAAAAAAACCCCGAAAAAGTCTCCAAACTGAGAGTGTCGTCACGTTACACAATAAAATCAATCAATTAAACTATGGATAAAATTGACATTAAAAGCTAATTAATAATCAAATAATTAACAGAGCAGGCTAACCAGAAAGTGAGCAGAGCTTTTACACCAACACTGTCTCCTGTTTTCCAGTAAACAAAGTGTCACTTGTGACCACATTTTACTACAATTCATTTTTGATCATGGTTTTAAATCATAAGTTCAAAAAGTAGTTAATTTTTTTTCGCAATTACTAGACATTTTAGGCGACCCCATTTCAATTCCAGGTGCCCCCACATGAGGTCGCAACCCCAAGGTTTGAAAACACTGCATTAATGTATTTGGTACTATGTTGCACCTTCACAGTTCATTTCAAAGTTCTCGATTTTTGACAGAAGAAATCTTACAAATAAGTCCTGTTTCCGAACTTCTACTCGATATAACATTGGTGACGTTGTTGACCTTCTAGATACTGAACCAAAGAAGGAAAACACAACAATAACTATGAAGTAATACTAGATTAGCACAGTTTTAAAGTATCAGTCTTTCAATGAACTATCAGCACAAAGACTGGTATCGCTAGTTTTTTTTTTTTTTTTTACCTCACTAATTTTACTATAATTGTTTATTTGAAATCGTTCAGTTTTGTACTTTGTCGAAGATGTTCGTGTAAAGAAAAATTGTCAGTTCCACTCATATGGTTTCCATCTTGACATTCTGGAGTTCACACGCGATAAATTCCAAGCACTAACGCTGGAGATAGCTGTGAGTACTCGGAGTTGCCAGACTCTGTATCATAACATATACTCACGACTCTTGGCTCTGCCTGTTCAATGTGACTACGACTGCCTGCTCTTTATTATGCAGCTGCTAACAGTAGTCTCTTTTTCTTGGCGCTTCATCTCGACATAAGAAACTAATAATCAGGAATCAGCGTGCAGCATTACATAACCAACGCTCCGGCTCCCGTCTCCCCCCGTCTGTGTACGTAAATGTGAGCTTTGTTCCATGGTGTTCTCGAGAATCCAAATATTTCCAACTGCTGGGCTCTGTGTTTCCTCCTCACTCAGTGTTGTTCTCCACTCCACACTACACTCCTCTGTTCCTCTCTTCTTTCCAACCTCAAAATCTAATGGGTAAAAGGCAATTTAAACTGTGCTGACCGCAAAAGTTTTCAGTCAGCATTCCAGCAGGATGAGAACAGCGGGCCCACAGAAGATGCTAAGGCCCTCATCAAGACTGTCTTTGTTCCCCCAGCACAATGTATGGTTGATGCGTCCCTCAGGGACCGGGAAGTTACGGCACCGCTTGAAACTCTGTCCTTTCAGGGAGAGTCGGTGATATGCTTCCCTGACAACTACACCCCCCCCCCCCCCCCCCCCCCCCCCCCCCCCCCCCCCTGCCCCCCCCTCTCTCTCTTCAGTTTTCCAACTTCCCTGGATTAAGTTCATTAGATGATGAAAAGGAATATCTGACGAGGAGGGAAATTCACGTAGGGTCGTTTCAGGAGGCAGGTCACATGCAGTGAATCTTGACATCCACTAGATTTCTATCTCAATTTGACCAAAGAGAAAAAGCATCGATGAGTGGAAATGAGGATTCTTTAGGTTTCAGAGGAGGACTTGCTGGTTGCAGTCCAGATTGACGACCATATTTAAGATAATCCCATTTGTTCCAAATGTGATTTACTGTGATTCCACCGCAAAACAAAGTGCAGTAAAACCAGTGGTTCACTGACTTTTGTTCCAGACCAATCATTTCTCTTAGTTCATGTCTGGTTACATGACAGTGTTTACATTTAGAGGGACTGTGTTTATTCCACTCAACAGAAAACTTATTCAGCGATTCTTATGGAGAGCTGCTAGTTGACAACTCAGCCACAAGGTGGTAGTACACACCCATTTCTGACTTTTCCCAGTTAATTGCTGCGATTGAGAATTTCAACTGAGGCACTTCTTAAACCTTTTTAAATACTCTTTAAAATCCGGTTGAATATATTTTGGTTTCAACATTTTGAAAGTTTAAGTAATTGCTCAATTACTGACATATTGACACATTCAAATTGATGTATACAATTATCAATCTACATACATACGTATTTGTATATATACATTTATATATAAATACATGTATATTTGTACATATATATTTATATATGCATGTATATATGGACATATATTTATATATACACATATATGTACGTGTGTGGGTGTGTGTTGAACTTTCTTTAAATTTCTAACAGAACAATAAGTGGGTTCCAATATTGAAATATAAATAAAATATATACATATTAATATAAATATATATAATTTTAATTACCATAATGTTAATTAAAATGATATAGGAAAGAAAATGTAACCTGGTGCTCTGTGAACCACTCATTAAAACCGCCTTAATCTAAATTTATAGTCCTGGCTGATTCTTACATGGTTGAATTTAGACTTTTTTGCCAGTTTTTTCTAGGGTGACAGCTGTAGTGCACTCACCCGCGGTGGTTCCTGTCGCATCCCAGCTCCACCCAGGCTCCTCTGTCTTGTCCAGAGTTTGATTATCTGGCATTTAAAACTGACTTTGATTCTAAGCTTTAAAACATCACTTTTCAAACCTATGGGGTGATGTCACCGAGGCCAGAGTACATCCATGTCCTGCTGCAGCCTCTAATTTGGCAGGACAGGCATCGATAGCACGGCTACACTAAACGCTATGGTTTCTGGAAATATCCAAAACTATGTATTTCTTCAAATGCAAGAAGCAGATGTCGCCACCACAGCCTGACGGCCATCTTTGTCCGATGATATACCACCCTGCTTTTTCTAGGCACATAAAACTCTGTTATTTTAGGACCTGGATTGTCATTGTATAGGAAAGCTTGGAATTATCTGGAGGGTATTTGAGAGGGATAGCTGTTTTCACCGTAAAGTCAGAGAGAGCTGCAGTTTGTGGCGTTGATTGCTGTTTGTTACATAGTCAGGGAATGTAGATTATACGATCACTCCGACTCATCGCAATTCTCACGATTTTGTTTGTTCGCAGCAACTTCTCCAACTATAGGAACCGCTTCAGTATGCCGGGCCAGACTGAAGGCCTGTGGTACAGGTAGGAGAACAGAACATGTCTGGATTCTAAAATAGAGCGCCATGTTTTATCACTGAAAAGTGCAGTTTATAACCATTTTGATTTCCAGGTTTTCTGGGGTTTTTTTCTGTCGGCCAAAGGTCAGCATGGAACTAGGAAATACGCCATTTTGTTTTTTTTTCTCCCTCTTCATGAAACAGTTATTCAAAACACATTCAGGCAGAAGTTAAATATATATCTGGATGATTTAGTTCTGGACTTGATGCAACACGACCCAAAAAAAAACAAACTCTTGCGACCCACCTGAGGGTTGCGACCCAGTCTTTTGGAAACAACGGTCTAGGACACTGAAGTAGATTTTATTCCCATGCACCCAGTCTTTTGGAAACAACGGTCTAGAACACTAAAGTATATATTATTCTCATTTAGTATTTTTATTTTATTTTACAAGTCTATACAGTGCCATCTTGTGGCCATAGATGATATGGCGTATATTTTTGATAAATGTGCCCTCTTGTGGCCATAGATTATATGGCGTATATTTTTGATAAACAAGTCGCCTTGGAATAAAGATCACAGGACCAGCCAAGCTACTGAAAAAAGAGTAACACATAGTAAATACATTCAATAAATACATAGCAGTTATAGCAGTGCTGTCATCTCTTTGTTTGAGTTCCTTTAACTATCGCAAGAACATAAAGAAGAACATAAAGAACGGACAAAGGAGAGCAGCATTTACACTAGCAATGAAAATATGTCTCCTATATATACATGGGAGACATACTGTGTATGACATATATATGTCCACTCATAAAAAGTAACTGTACTCTCCGTGCTGTTGGCAGTACTTCTGTGTCCGTAGCCGAACATGTATGCTAGTATTTGTTACAGCCTGGAACTAAACATGGGATCTGATCTGATTCTCTCTCTGTGTCCGGTCACTGATGTTGTCCTCAGCTGGAACCTGGGCTCAGCTCACATCGTTTCCATCTCCACTGAGGTTTACTTTTACCTGGAGTTCGGCCTGGAGCTCCTCTTCAAACAGTACGAGTGGCTGAAGAAAGATCTGGAGGTGTTTGCTCTCTGCCTCCCTCTATCTTCCAAACAAACAATTGTTTTTCTAGACTAAAGTTGAATGAAGTGACTGAATGACAGTATTTTTTTTTGTAAATGTGGATTCGGCTTCACTTCTGTTTCCACTTCTTTAGGAGGCCAACAAACCAGAAAACAGAGCAGCACGTCCGTGGATCATCACCATGGGACACAGACCAATGTACTGCTCTGATGACGACCAGGACGACTGTACCAAGTTTGACTCCTACGTGAGTTCAACTACTCACTTCAGATTTAAACTTTTAAAACATATTGCTTATTTGTTTATCTTCCATTCCGTTAGCATAATTATTACCATCCTTGTAATGCAACTCTGTGGCTAAATTATTCGATTTAATTCAGCCAAAGTGGAGAAATTAAATCCTTGCTCCGGCCCATAAATTACCTGTAACTGCCTTGTTTATTTTTCACTGTGCAACGGGTTAGACACAGGGCTGCACGTCTGCATTTATTAAAGCTTTTTATTATGTCCCGATGAAGGTATTTGTAAGCTTTATTTTCTGTGGAAATGCCTGACAATTTCACTGCCTCTGGTAGCAGACGTGTCACACATGTTGCGAGCTGGCTTCCAGCGCGGTATGCTGTCATAATCACTGTAAATTGGTCTAAATAGTTTCCAGTTAGAATAACTGCTCTCAGCACTTGGCGGCATCCAGAGAGAGGCAGGCACAGGCATAATGAGGCTTTACCAGGTAGTGTTTCAGGTAGCATGCAGTGTTCTGGGCACGTGTGCAAGTTCATACCTACATTATGTCTCTCTGCAACCTTCTAGGTCAGACTGGGGCGAAATGACACCAAACCACCAGCCCCCGGATTAGAGGATCTATTCTACCGCCATGGTATGTTTTCTATTGAACAACCAGCTGTGAGCAAAGCTGACGGCTGTTTTAGGATCACACATTTGCACGCTCAGACAGACTAATATCACAGCTATGGCGGGGAGCTGGGCAGTTCAAATAGTGGCTATGGCGGGGAGCTGGGCAGTTCAAAAAAGCAGAAAAGCAGACCTCGTGCCTGGCTCGTCACTCGCCGTCCTTTCCAAATGTTTTCGATTTTTATTGCATTTCTTAGACCTTTGTTTGTTCCAGTTAATTATTGAACTTTAAGCGGTATTTTGAAGCTTTGCATGAGACCTCTGGTCGGTTTTGTTGTGGAAGTTTTTGTCTCTGCTGACTTTTCAAACTGACTTTCAAAGGAGTGGATTTGGAGCTGTGGGCACATGAGCACACGTATGAGAGGCTGTGGCCCGTCTACGGTGACAAGGTCAGACACAACACTTATAGGTCATACTACAAGTCATATGTATGTGTATATATATGTATATATGTATGTATGTATGTATATATGTATGTATGTATTTATATATGTATATATATATTTATGTATATATGTATATATATTTATGTATATATGTATATATATATTTATGTATATATGTATATATATATTTATGTATATATGTATATATATATTTATGTATGTGTATATATTTATGTATATATGTATATATATATGTATGTGTATATATTTATGTATATATGTATATATATATATTTATGTATATATATGTAAGGGCTGTCAAATGGTTACGATTGTTGGTCTGAATAATCACAAGTGTTATTCTTGATTCATTGAAATTAATATACATTTCAAATAATATTAATCATGAATCTGTCACTAATCAAAGTGAATTTAGTGATGTGTAAATATATCAAGCAAATATGCAAAAGGTTTTTTTTTTTTTTGCAAAATTTTCATCTTCCTCAACTCAAGGGGAATCTACTCCTCCCACAATCATGTATATATTGTATGTGAATGTGACTGTGAATAATGGATACATTCTCTAATGAATTGTCGCCTAATGCAGCCCTATTATATACAGACATATGTATATATATGTGTGTATATAAACATATTGTCATTAACCCTATGTTTGTAGTGGACTGAAGGAGACTAACGTTTACATTAACTCAATAGGTTTACAATGGCAGCAAAGAGCAGCCATACCAAAATCCAAAGGCTCCAGTTCACATCATCACAGGCTCTGCTGTAAGTACGTCACGTCACTTCACCTTAACATCTCTGTGCATGCATTTCCTCAAGGAGCAATGCACAAACTGACAGCCAAGTCAACAACAACAAGAACAACAACAACAACAGTGTCGTGTTTTGAACACACACACTGTGCATATTCCGGTCTGCCACGGCAGTTTACTACCAGCTGTTCCTCTGGTTAACTGCTGTCTGATGTGGTGGTGAGCAGCGCGGGGCACGATTCCTCATCCGGCCACAAAGAGATTAGTCATCATCACATCAAAATGCAGACTCCAGACTTCACACGGAGCCCAGCCACAGTTGTTCATGTCACACAGGGCTGTGTGGACATGAGATGAAACCCATGTGGCTCGTCAGCAACAGATTCACTTCACTTCCTGTTGTCTCCTCTGCAGGGATGTAGAGAGAAGACGGACCTGTTCAATCCCAACCCCAGAGACTGGAGTGCGTTTCGTAGCACAGACTACGGCTACACCCGCATGCAAGTGGTCAACACCAGCCATATTTACCTGGAGCAGGTGTCTGATGACCAGGTGGGTCAACTGTTAAAACATTTACGGGGGTCACCAACCTTTTTGAAACTGAGAGCTACTTCAAGGACACTTAGTAATATGAAGAGCTGCTTGTTGGATTCAGACTTTTTGAACAATTTAATAATAATAATAATTGTTATTCCTGGCACAGACAATAGCAGGCGCTCTTCTTACCATCTTCATTGGACCCATTTGAATATCACTGCTAGTGGAACTGATTCAAAAAGCACAGTAACAGTACAATTTATTGACTAACCTCTTGTTGACTAGTTTTATTTTTAGAACATACCCTACAGGCAACTCAGGTAGTCCACGGGGGCTATCAGGTGACCCCGGGCACCACGTTGGTGACCCCTGATTTACATACTGTAGGCAACAACATTTAAGCCTAGTTGTTGTTGACAAAACCTGCTCTGTTTCCAGTACGGCAACGTGATTGACAGCATATGGGTGGTGAAGGAAAAGCACGGATCGTCTGCCTGGTCCTGAAGACCACCCTGAAGAACACACACTGGTGGGATCAGGAAATGCACTTTAAACTTTAAAACAATCATCTGTTTTAGCACAAGATTTAAAAGATGAAGAATTGTTAAAAATGCAGAGCCGTGCGTGTGTGTTTCTGCAATAAGGAGTTACAGTAAGAAACAATAAAAGTGTGATGTAAAAACAACCTGCTAAATGTAGTTTTTGGTAATTTGATCTTTTACAAATGAACATCTTTTTATGCAGTAGAGTTGATGTAGATGCTGCATCTTTATTACATTTTTTTTTTGAAGTTTAGTTCCTGTCTCACTGCTGAGTTATCAGCTGACAACAGACAGTGACTGTTTTTTTTTTCTTTTTCTTCAGTCAGAAAAACAGGCCCTGTTCCCTTTGGTACTTTTTTTTTTTCTATCAGGAAATACGCTTAGACAGACCCAGTCTTGTCTCCATCACTCTATCAGGATGACAGATTCTCCCCTGGCTCTCCCTATCAGGATATTGGAACTTTATTTCATTGTCTGTCTCTGTGTCTGTGTGGCCGTCAAGATACAAAAACACACATGGGAGCCTACGCCTACACGGAACGAACTGTTGCGTAATTCAGGGATGCTTGTGGCTTGGGCACGTGCTCAGTGAAAGTGAGAGAAGTCACTTTTCCTCACACTGTTGCTCATACCATGACTCTCACCACTCTGGTGTTATTTACCTCTATGGACTGCAAACGAATGACTATTATAACACTGGATATGAATCACATGAGCTCCACGTTGCCATTATTTTGACAGTGAAGTATTTCAAAATACTTTGCATATACGTATAATTTAAAGATACTATTTATTATATTTTGTCCTCCACGGCCCAAAGGTCTACAGACCAAAGGTCATCGCAGGGCTGACTGACCTGATCCGAGGTGCGGAGACTTGAGGCAGACTGCAGTAGCATGTCGGTAAATCTAACCCCAAATGTCTCTGATGTCAAAGCCCCACAATGCAGCGGTTTCTGGCGAAAGAAAGACACAAGCAAACAGTCATCACACTTCAAACCATCTTGGTGAGCCTGCCCACTGTTAACCACCAGTCACACACGGCCTCAAGATTGTGAGTGTGGAGAAGGGCCGGCTCCAGTGAGTTCTCAACCACGGTCGGGTTCATGCCGAACTCCCCAGATTGTTGTCTCCTCAGTGATACAGGCACAGAGACAAAGGAACAGTGTGTACAGAGTGGAGACAGTGGAATTTCGTTGCAGAAGTGAAAGAAAGTGAAAACAATTATTGATTCTAACCAAAGGAAAAGGAGAGAGGAGAAAACATGGCACTTCATATGACGTACAGCGCCACGTACAGTCGCCCTAAGGCAGTGTTTCCCAACCCTTTTTTTTAACCTTGGCACAAGTCCCAGGATGCACTACCAAACAAAAATATCATGAAGTATACGTTATGAAATATAATGATTTTCAATTCACTCAGTCGGTGTAAAATCTGAGCCTGTTTAGTTGAACAAAACCCTGATGTAATTCAAGAAAGAAAGACACAGACGTAGCTCAAGTCTCTCTCTTTGATTAGTTTTAATAGCGTAATTCTTCTGCCTGTCACTGTTGCAAAGACGGACAAAGTTTACTGAAGAATGTTGTAGAAAGTCCTGGATTTGAGTCCCAGAGGAACTGCATACTTAATGGTGCCTCCGGTGGCAGCCTGTGTGAATTGCAAAGACTCCCTGTGATTTTCCTAATTGTTGAAATTATTATTTAGTTTGCTGCTAAAAACTGTAGCTTCGTCATCTATTTGAGGTATCTCAGATCCTCATTTCCAACTTCAAAATTATTGAAAACTATTTGAGGTATCTCAGATCCTCATTTTCAACTTCAAAATTATTGAAAAGTCAAAGAACAGCTCCTGATCACTGTTGGAGGCTGGGACTGTTGTCATTTACAGGGTTTCATCTGTCACATCCCCGAGAGATATATCATCAACGTAGAAGCTCGGTGTTCTACCAAAACCCGAGGAGACCACCGTGAGGAAAAACAGCCAATCTCTGATGGAACATTTTTAACATAACTTCTCTTTCAGCATCTGCACCACAAAACATTACAGAGAGCCTGGCATGGGTCGGATCACGTGTCGTGGTTAACGTGCCACACCTCTGATGAATGGTTTTCGGAGAATTTTTTTTTTTTTTGGAACAGATAGAACGAGGAAAACACAAACCATATTTACCAAATTAAAAGTAAACACAACTACCGTACGCAGTGTATTATTGGAGGCTAAGGTCACAACATGCAACAGTTGTGAAAGGATTTTTCAAAGTAATCATTTTGAATATTATCTACAAGTTTTTGTCGGACTTTGTGGAAATTAAAAGTAAACACAACTACCGTACACAGTGTGTTATTGGAAAGGATTTTTCAAAGTAAGCATTTTGAATATTATCTACAAGTTGCTGTCGGACTTTGTGAGGTCAACGTATCAGGGTCAAGTTGTCCTAGAGGTCAAGCTTTAAGGTAAGTACAAAACACTAAATGGATTTATGATCAAATGAGCTAACATTAGCGTTAGCACTATTGCTCCTTTCCAGGGTCCCAGGCCAATGGCCCAACAAACCCATCACAGCGCCACATGTGGAGACGACGATGATTGCGACTTACATACATACCTAAGGTAAATGGACTTCTCCATTTAGAAGATCACCAGGAGTCAAACTTGGTATCCTTTAGCTGTAAGGCAAGCGTACTAACCACTCTACCACCGTGTAGCTCCCTCTGGTATATAAAATTCAACTGAACGAGGCAACAGCTCCACACTTTGTGGGTTTACTGTGTTACTTAAATGTGTGTTTATTTTAAATGGGCCGTTACGGTAAAGTGGAATATTTGTGTTTGGTTAAGACGGATTAGCAACTCTTTCAAAGTAGAATTAGCTTCAAGGGAAATACTGAATCAAAGCCAATGTTTTGGAGCTGATATCAATGGAAAAGAGTTTGTTAATATTTTCACTGGCAGTTTTCAATTGTTATTACAGGCATTTAGATAAAAAAAAGCCAACGGCTGTTTTTCGTTTTTTTTTTTTTTTCTTTTTCCTAACGTACATTTAAATAAGGCATTCTTACTTCTCTTACATCCCGGAAAACCAAGTATTTAGACGATGGTCCAGCAAAAGCAGAGGGTTTTGCCATTACCTAACATTAAAGTCTTTGGCAGGACGACAGTTCTTAGACTTAGACAGACAGGTATGTCCCCTGTCTAGACCCAAAAGAATTAACTGTGTCATTTATAGCTGTCTTTAATGTAGAACTGTTTCCTGCTGGGGTAAAGTACCAACTATTTTTTACCATTCTGCGAAAAACAGTTTAATGAGTACTTAATTAATGTTTTAGTCTCACTGTTGTCAGATCATTTGGTAGCGGCTAAAAGCTCTAAGAGTTTATGATTATATGAATATTCACATCTGAGTTTGTGACATGTAAGATTAAAATGAATATTTTTGTAGTTAGTGACAAAAACCTACTTAAAAACGAATGGTCACTTGGGTTCAAATGGAATTAGTAGAGATAGCTTGATCCGAAATCAGTCCGATATTGGTCAAAATCTCAGGAACGGTTATCGATGTCACACTGTAACAATAATCAGTGTCATAGTGTTGACTTAATTTATTTGATTTGGTTAAAATGTTAAACAGTTGTAACTGTGTTTCAAACTGCAAAAAAATGCATTATAAAAACACTGGACGAAAACATTCGTAATTGCTAAATCAGGCTAAAATAAAAATTGCCGACTGCACTCTGGAGGAGAACAGAAGATATCGGACTGATATCGGTATTGGCAGATACTCAAAAGTTGCAGTATCGGTATTCGTATCAAACATTGAAAACTTCAAGCCGTCCTGCAAAAGTTGCAGTATCGGTATTCGTATCGAACATTGAAAACTTGTATCAAGCCGTCCTTAGTAATTAGCAATGCTAGCATGCTAGGTTAATACACGCTAAAACCTAGCAGTCGTCGAGTCAGGGGCTTTGTTTAGCCGTCCATTTCAGAGACAAACAACTAATTTCACTCACACTAGCTGTAGTCAATTTTCCCGCTAAACCCTCAACAGAAGGGCTACGGTTCAATACGGTAAAGTCTAGAGTCGTTATGACCCGTCATTGTTGTCATTGCGAAGTTGCTGCTCTGCTGACACTGGCCTTCGCCTCAAATCATCAGCACGTACTACGTTAAGTGCTCCTTTCACAAAAAGGGTGATAACAGAAACAAGTGGATGAAGTTTTGGAAAACATCAGCAAAGAAGCTAACAAAAACATGACCCTGAGCGTGGTCACTACCTTACAATAAGCATGTTTGACTATTAAATGGACCAAGGCATGAATTCAAGGCAGAGAAAAACAAATGATCCCATGGCTGGGAACTGATTTTGTGTGGCCACTGGCCACCGGTGGAGCTTGTTTAAACAGACTCAACCTGAAAGACTTAATGGCCGCGCTGACAGCAGTCATACGAGATGTCTGGTGAGGCCTGTGTTCTGCGGCTAAAAGCTGCAGGCAGAAAAGTCGGGATGTTGCGGTCTCTTTACGTAAGCCCAAGAGAAAAGAGGCGCAAAAAGTTCTATTTTAAATTAGACTCCAATGTTTGTTCTCCCACCAAACTTAAGCCAACGTGAATATAGGATACCGTCGGACGGTGTTTTTCCTGCCACCTCAGACACGGTCGAGCGTCTGCTCCGGTGTCACGTCAATTAACCATTAGCACGAGGACACAGAGCAGCTCAGACTTTAAATGTAGGTTGTAGGTTTTTATGAAAGGTAGTGGTGAGTTTGGATCGCATCCCGAATATAATCACACACGTGTTTCAGTCAGTTTTTGCTGATTTATTTGATTCTCCAAAACCCGCAGTCTACATGTGCCTTACACAAACACCAGAGCAGGGAGAGTGCAAACAGAAAGAGTCTAGTACTGTTAGAAAGGAACCACCTAGCTAACCTGTAACCTTTGTTACAGGTTAGCTAACGTGTTGACATATTTATATAACAAGTATGTATAAAAAAGTATATATATAAAAATATAAATGATTTAGTGTCAACATGTAAACATTGAAGGCGGTTTTAATTTCAAAAAACCTGATCGTGGATTAAAACCAAGGCCTGACGAGGGTGAAGAAAACATGAGTCTGCAAAATAGAAGCAGATTTCAGTTTGGTGA